AGGCCAGATTAGTCGTGAAGGGGTTCCAACAATGGTAAGAAGTGGACTATATAAAGATATTTTTCCCCATTGTGAAGCTCACCACCATTAGGGTGGTGTTAACCTTAGTAACTATAGAAGATCTCTACCTTGAGCAGTTAGATGTGAAGACTGCCTTTCTTCATGGTGACTTGGATGAAGAAATCTATATGAAGCAACATGTTGTCTTCATTAAATAAGGAAAGGAAGAGATAATGTGTAAGCTCAAAAAGAGCTTGTACGGACTGAAACAAACCCCGAGATAGTGGTACAATAAGTTCAACAACTTCATGCAGAACAATGGTTATAGAAGATGCAATTCAGATCATCGTTACTACTTCAAGAGATTCGAGTCTAGTTTTACCATATTGTTATTGTATGTTGATGATATGTTAGTTGCAGGACTGAGTTTAGAGAAGATAAACAACTTGAAGAAGCAGTTGACAAAGGAGTTTTCTATGAAGGATTTGGGTGCAACGAAACAGATTCTAGGGATACGAATCAGTAGAGATAAAGTTGAATGAACGTTGAGGTTGAGTAAAACTGAATACATTAAGAAGACACTTCAGAGGTTCAACATGCAGAATGCTAAGGTTGTTAGCACGCCCCTTAGAAGCCAATTCAATCTATCTGAAGAACAATCGCCTAAGTCAGATGCAGATAGAGAGCATATGAGTAGAGTACCATATTCTTCGGCCATTGGGAGTTTCATGTACGCGATGGTTTACACGAGGCCGGACATTATCTATGCAGTGGGAGTTGTGAGTAGGTTTGTAAACAATCTAGAAAAGCAGCATTGGGAGGCTGTAAAATGGATATTGCGCTACTTAAGAGCGACTACGGACAAGCCACTATATTTCAGGAGGAAGGAGTTGGTATTATAGGGATACGTGGATACGGACTTCGTCGATGATCATGATACAAGGCGGAACACCATGGGATATGTTTATACATTGGCGTCGACAGCAGTGAGTTGGGTTTCACATCTACAGAAGATTGTAATTTTGTCTATAACTAAATCTGAGTATGTTGCGGTGACTGAAGCAAGGAAGGAGATGATTTGGTTGAACGGGTGTCGGGAAGAGTTGGATCTGAAGCAATGGAGATGAGTTCTTTATCATGACAGCCAGAGCGCTATACATCTTGCCAAGAATCTAATATATCATGCCAGAATAAAACACATCGACATACGATACCATTTTATATGCACACTAATTGAGGACGGGAAGATACATCTAGAGAAGATTTTGGGGAGTCAAAATCTTACAGATATGTTAACGAAAGCAGTGATCATTAACAAACTGGAGTTGTGCGCAACTTCAGTTGGCCTTCACGCGTAGGAGATGAAGGCAAAGCCACACCAGGAGGATCGTCGGGATCGTCGGGTTGATGATGATTAAAGAATGAATTTTTTTCTATGTATAAGGATGCTTACGAAGAAGGGAGAGTTCGGGTGAGCTCGTTGATTGTGCTTTGGTCTCCAAGTTGGAGATTGTTAGTCTAAGGGATGTAGACTGAAAGCTGGAATTAAACAAATTGTTAGATAGCAGGTTTCCTAATCTGTTTTGGTAACATGATTCTTAATTTGTTTGGGTAACAAGATTCTTAATCTGTTTTAGTAACAAGTTATTAGGATTCCTAATCTATTTTGTTTTTTTGGTTTGAGAATTCCTAGTCTGTTTTGGTTTTAGGTTTTTTATATATATATGGAACGCCTTAGAAGAGATTAGACATAAAAAAGGGTTTTGGGAGAATTCTTCAGAGAGATCTCAGAGAGATTAGATCCTATTTGTGGGCATTGTAATCTTCTTCAATATTAATCAAAGAATTGTGTGGTGTGGTTCCCGAGGACGTAGGCACGATTACCGAAGCTCGTTAAATCTGGTGTGTTCTTTCTTATTTACTTTCCTGCAATTTTTTATCTTTTATTTGCTGTGATTTTTCCTACTTTCCTACTCTCAAACACAAGGTCTAGAAGGGCAAGGGTTCAATTTGATTGTTTTGAATCCCCAACAGTGGTAATCTGTCTCTACATAGTCGCGATAAAAAGGGCAAGAAGAATCCCCTGCTACACAACTTTTAACTATCAGATTTTCTTTTGTTTAAATCTTACATTTGGATAGATTCTATAGAAACACTTTTACTTTAATTGGAATGATAGATTTCCAAATAAAGTTATAACATTCAAATTTTTATACCTCCTCCATTAATGATTTCATATAGAGATTTAACTGAGAAGGTTTTTTTAAAACGAATGCCTTGGGGCACCTGCTAATATGGATATAGCATACACTATATGCCAATGACCCATTATTAGTTTCTAGTTTCCAATTAAGGCTCCTCTTAATTTGTGCTTATTTTCAATTTACTAAACTCATGTTTCTATTAAAAACCCAGCATATAATTTAAATTATCAAGAATAAAAAAGTAATTAAAATAATAATGACACTATGTCCATTTATCTCTTTTTTAATTCCCTTTAAATAATATTTCCCTTCTATATAGTGATTTAAAGTTTACGATTTAAAACAAAACTAGCAAAAGTACTTTAGAAGTTGGGTGCCACCAGGGCTTCATCTTCTTCATGTACTGGACTCTAAAACCTTCTTTCTTTAATGATGAAAACTCTCCTCTTGTGTGTGTTCATTGTCTAGAACATGACAAATTAAGCAATATTAGAAGCTAGCTTTTGCAGAGCAATTGATGTCTTGTTGAAGATGAAATTATTTTGTGTCCTCCAAGGACACCAAAAAAAAATTTAGAAACAAAACTGACCATAATTGACTAACTTTGTCATTAGATATGATTTTACCGTAGGACTCTAACGTAGAGGAAAAGCTAGGTGGCCATTGATCAATCTGAAGCATATGTAGAAAGGGTTCCCACACCTCCTTACGTAGAGGAAAAGCTAGGTGGCCATTGATCAATCTGAAGCATATGTAGAAAGGGTTCCCACACCTCCTTGGCATAAGAGCATTCATAGAATACATTGATCAATCTGAAGCATATGTAGAAAGGGTTCCCACACCTCCTTGGCATAAGAGCATTCATAGAATCGATGGTCATCTGTCTCTACATAGTCACGACAAAAAGGGCAAGAGGAATCCCCCGCTACACAACCTCTAACTATCAGATTTTTGTTTGTTTAAATCTTATATTTGGATAGATTCTATAGAAACACTTTTACTTTAATTGGAATGATAGATTTCCAAATAAAGTTATAACATTCAAATTTTATACCTCCTCCATTAATGATTTCATATAGAGATTTAACTGGGAAGGTTTTTTTTAAAACGAATGCCTTGTAGCACCAGTTAATATGGATATAGCATATACTATATGCCAATGACCCATTATTAGTTTCTAGTAATGACCCATTATTAGTTTCTAGTTGCCAATTAAGGCTCCTCTTAATTTGTGCTTATTATCAATTTACTAAACTCATGTTTCTATTAAAAACCCAGCATATAATGTACATTATCAATAATAAAAAAACAAATTAAAATAATAACGACACTATGTCCATTTATCACTTTTTTAATTCCCTTTAAATAATATTTCCCCTCTAGATAGTGATTTAAAGAACTATGCAAATTATGTTAAGTCGTATAAATATTTGAACTATGCATAACACATTTTCTCATTTCAACAAGGATTTCTTAACTTATGGTGGAACTATGATATTTCATTTAAACTACAAAATAATGAGACTTCTTTAGTATTTTTTTCTATATAAATGAAGATAATTTGAGTTTTTTTTCCTTTATATTTGTTGGAGGGAATATTATCTGGAGGGAAATAAAATAAATGAATAAATAAATATAATTTTTTCCCATTACTCTTTTAATTTTGTTTGAGTCTTAATAATGTCCAGAATATGTTATTTTTTATGAACATGAGAGTAGTAAATTGACAATAAGAACAAATTAAAGGGAGCCTTAATTGACAATTAGCAACTTAAAATGGGTCATTAGCATATATGATATGCTATACCAATATTAATGGACGGCCTAGGGGCTAGGGCACCCTATTAGAAAAACCCCACTGAAAAATAAGTCCTTACTTCTATAAAACTAGAGACTTAGTCAAACATAAAAGCATCATACTTGATAGTCTATCTTTACAATTTACCAAATTTACATTTTACTGTCAAGATTTACCAATTTTTTCGAACTTTTTGTTTAACATTCTGAATTTCTATCTTCTCTTGTTCAATAATTGAGGTAATATTTATAATTGAATTTTAAAAAGGAAAAAATTCACAAAACCTGCCGGGACTTAAGTTGCACCTGTAATTTTTTTGATGAATTCCTTGGAGAAAAGAGAATAGAAGTAAACGAAATGCGATACAGTGGAGTGTTTTTTTTTTTGTTGGTAAATAGAGTTTTATGGAAAGTGCACGGTGTTTGAAAACGAAAAATTTAGGAGCCTTAGATGTAACAATAATTCTTAAATGTTCACAACTCCATCCCAATTTCCTTGACACATGATCGGTAACCCCGTGAATGCAACCAGTAAATGACTCACATAAAGTTTGACAGTTTTCAGACAAAATGGAAGAAGCAAAGGCCAAACAAAGGACAAAATCCTCAAGTTCAAGATCTACAACCTCGATGAGATCCGACACCTCTTCGCAATCCTCAACTCCAAGAGCAAGTGCAAGTGTAGGTGCAAGACCAACCTCTTCCTCTCAGAAAACAAACACTATAACTACCCTCAAAGGACTGAAGAGCCTAAATAGTAGATCAAACGCTGGACTAACCAGTAATGGAGGTATTATTACAGACTTTTCCAAACAGAATATTTCAAGAAACACAAACACTCTTACTCCCAAGAGGAAGCCAACAAGCAGAGGTGTGTCTCCTTTGAGCAGGCCTATCCTACCCACAGCAGCGACAATGCCAGAAGGATTCTCCAAAGAAGCCCCCCAGAATTTGATAACATCGGTTACTATCTTTCGAGGGAGAGCAACATCAGCCACTAGAGGAAAGCCAGGGAGCACGACAGTCGAGCAAAAGTCCGAAAACATTAAACCAGCTATGAGGAGGCAATCATGCTCTCCTAACGTAACAAGGGGTAGATTAATGGTAGCTAATAATAGTAGTAATAATAGCTCAGGAAATGGCACAATGGTAATTGGAAGCAGGATTGTAGAGAAGATGATGAATGCGAGGGACAAGGATTCACTGGACAAACATCAGAATCAAGCTAATGAGAAGACAGGGAATGATAAATTGATGCCGAAGACTATGATGGACAAGGTGTTTAAGAAGCAATCGGTATGTACATATACATTGTATCTTTAATTATCTTAGGCATCCGTGTTCTCTGTTTTATCTATTTGTTGTTAATATCTTGAGTTTTGATTTTTGTAGCAGGATATGAGTAGTAAGAATCCAGATGGTGTAAAGTCATCCACAAATGCTAATAGTACTGCATCGAAAACCAAACTGGGCAATCAGACATATCAAGGTCTCCAAGAAAGGAACTTTAGAGTTCGAGCAGGCAACGAAAGCAAGTTCCCCATTAACAAGAGTACTGAAACTAGAACTAGATATAAATGAACCAGGGATATTACTTGAGGTCTTGCTCTGGTGGAAATTTTGCATGTTTTGGTTTTAGTCTTATTATTGTCTAATTTGTTGTCATTCTAATTATCATCTGACTCACTTTAATTTGATGTACTCATAAAGAAAACAAGTGAACCAGGGATATTACTTGAGGTCTTGCTCTGGTGGAAATTTTGCATGTTTTGGTTTTAGTCATATTATTGTCTACTTTGTTGTCATTCTAATTATCATCTGACTCACTTTAATTTGATGTACTCATAAAGAAAACAAGCTGCGAACTGACAATGTTAACCTGTGTGATACCGTGACATTAGTGCAAGAAAATAATGGTATGAATATCAGTAAACTTCATCACCAATCGGGAAAAGTAAACATTTGTTGGTTTGATATTTTTTCAAACCAATTCACAAATTTCAGTTTAAGGTTTTGTTTGCTCTAGAAATTTTAAAGATCCTAACCCACCTCAAATCATTTTCAATCGTAGATCATAACCAGATAATTTTGAGCTATCCAATTTTATTGAATTCCGGATTTTTGACATGTGCCACATTCTTTGCAAGTGGAAGGTCACAATTGTTATTTTTATCTTTTTTAAATATTAACTTTTGGGTTTATCAAGTTGTTTTATTTTGAATTTATCGTAATGACTTGAATTTAAGAGAAATAATAGGCGTTAAGGCATATTATTTTTTTAATGGGTTGGATCCACTAGGAGGGTATCCATTAACTCTCAACCCAATTCATCAAATCTCATATAAAAAAGCAACATTTTCTGTCTCTCAAAAATTAGGATCGAATTCATGATATATCCATGTTTATGTTGGCCTCTTTGTTTTGATGATGTTTAACAAACAATTTACCACTAATATTGTTTGTCTAGTGTTGGTATTGTTTTGATGATGTTTAACAAACAATTTACCACTAATATTGTTTGTCTAGTGTTGGTATATTTCTATTTATTATAGACAAACAACGAGTTGGAGGATGGATGGAATAGAGCTTCAACGATCATATCTAATGGAGGTTGGCAGAATTGTGGAGTGAAGCAACGTTATTCAAAGTTAAAGATTCAAGTTCAAACTTCATCCGCAATATTACCAAGAAGAGCTTATTGAAGATCAAGATCTAGCTTGGGTAACTTAGTTTAGGTTTTATATTATGTGGAGCTTATTGAAGATCAAGATCTAGCTTGGGTAACTTAGTTTAGGTTTTATATTATGTGTGTTAAGTACATTAAGCTCAATATCATATACACACACGTATTTGGTTTCTATGTATATATATAGTTATATATATACATGCATGGTTTTGGGTTTTCATATTTAATGAAAATGAAAATTTTATTTTTGTAACATGTTTGTTTTCATGCTTATAAATATTTCGCAAAGTTTCATCAAGTTTGGAATTGATTTGTTATGTTTAATGGAATTTACAAAATCATGTTTTTGTTCGTGCACATGTTCGTGCATGTTTTACAAAACAGATAAGTTTTCATAAATGGGAAGTGATATTCAAGAGATTATTTATTTTACATGTTTATCTACATGTTTAGAAACTTTCCTCAAAACTTTACTATTTTTGGAGTTGATTTACTATGCCCAATTGATTTTACAAAATCATGTATGTCAGCAGATTTTTAGAAACTGTATATCTGTATTCAAACATTTATTTCTCTCAACTGGGAAAGTTTTTTTCAGAAATTCTTTCTCTAACATGTCATACTACATGTCTAGAATATTCTCACAAAATTTCATAATTTTTGGACCTGTTTTACTATTTTTAACTGATTTTACAAAGTTGATATACAGTGCTACAGTATCCGCGGTCGACCGCCAAACTCTCTGCAGGTTACTGTAACATAACGGCTATATTTTTCAGATTTTGTTATATCCGTTATTTTATCTTTTTTGCTTGGTTTTCTTGGGTTTTTGGGCTTGTTTCATGAGCCTATATATACTCCATGCCCTCATACTTCTAATGGCACTTAAGAAATGTTTTAAACAAGTTTAAAGAGTTTTAAACAAGGGTTTAAGTTTGTTTAATATTTGTTTAGAAGATTTTAAGCAATTGGGTGTTTGAGTTTGAGAATTCAATTCCACAAGAGCTTGAGGAGATCATCTATTAGAGTTTGAGCAATCAACTATTCTCCCTCCATCTCTTGTCATCTATTGAGAAGTTTTCTAAACTCAATCTAACTTTATATTTCATATTGTTTGATTATCATTTTATTAAGCTAGTGTTCATATTGAGTTTAGTTGATTTTATTTTCTCTTTGTTTACACATACACAACCATTGAGCTTATTGTATTTACATTCATAGTATAATTGGGTTGTGGGATTGTGTAACTTAGAGAGTGAGCTTATAATGCATTCTCATCCATTGTAGAGAACAAACACTTTGTATTTGTGCTTATTGTGAGATTCACTTTGTAATACACTTGTACACCGAGAGAAGTGTGTGGCGAGAGTCGGGGATCATCCCAAGAGGAGTGGCGTCGGTTGACGAACCTAGGGAGAGGTTGTAACCGAGCACTTGAAGGAGACACATCTAGTTCAACACTTGAGAGGGTGTAGAGTGAGATTATAAGAGTGTGTTAGTTGTAGAGTTTTCGGTAAACTAGAAAACCATATTGTGTGGTGTAAACGTTGTTCGGATAAACGTAGAAAACCCGATTGTTGTGATAGTGGAGATCTCCTCGAGGTGAGAAGCGGAGACATAGGTCAAGTGGTTAGACCGAACTCCGTGATCATATCATTTGTTTGTGATTGCTTGGCGCACTTATTTTCATGCTCATATCTTATATCGCCATCGTGTATTGCTCATTGTTTATTCAACCCACTATCTAGTCTAGTTTGCTTACCCTTGTGTGATTTGTATATCCCTGTATATATCTCATAGCATATCTCTTTGCTAGGATATATCCCTTAGTTCATATTGCTTATCCTAGCTCATTTGCTAGGATATATCCCTTAGTTCATATTGCTTATCCTAGCTCATATATCTTGTTGTATTTTATACTTGCTAGGATAACTTGTTAATTAATTTTAATTGGCATATAATCGGATTAGATTAGCATAAGACCCTAATCACCCCCTCTAGGGCCTAATAGTTTAAGCATGCAAGTAAGTCATGTTGTGTTGTCCTAATCACATAATTCGTCGTATATTTTTCCATTTTATGCTATGCTATGCTCTGACCTAGAATTTACGGACATCATGCATGCTGGTTTAGGTTCTAGCTTGGACCGTTTGCTTGTTCAGTACGCTATCATAATACTTGGCCCTAGATATATACATGATTAGGACCATGATGTGGTATGTATGTATGTATGTATACGCACGCGTGTGTGTATATATATATATTATATATAAAAATGTTTTCTTGAGTGATAACTGGCTCCAATTAGATTATCTAAAAGTTATCAAGTGAATTTAGTTATTTACTGACTTCTTTAACTTGGCAAGTTGACCGAATTTTGTGGGTATATTCACTGCAAACCCTCACGAGACTACAACTCGTCCACTAGGGTAACCTAGGGGTTTAAAGGCTTGTTGTATGCGCTAAATACAACCGCGATTCCTGCGAAAGTGAGTTAGGATTTTCTTTTTATTTTCTTTGCTAGAGGACTAGCAAAAGTTTAGGTGTGGGGGTATTTGATAATCATATTTTATTACAATTTTATACCCTTATTATCTATTTTATATGAATAAATATACTACTAATAATTGTTTTTATCTTTAATTGCAGGTTAATGAAGAATAAATCTCAAACTCTCATCTCTCAACAAAAACCCATTGATTAAATGAAGAAATGAAGCAAAGAAGCACATTGGAAAATCAATTTCCAAATTATCCAAAAGCCCAGAATGAAGTCGTGTAGCCTGTAGAAGCCGGAGAAAATCAAAAATCCAATATGAAAAGAAATCATATTCAAAATGGTTGGCCACAAAGAAACGACGATATCTCCTAATCCGGAAGGCGGAATTTAACATATAATATATGAAAATCGCCTATCTCGACGAGACGAAGCTATCCGTGAAATCAGAATTTGGAAATAGTAGGCATCGTTGTTGGCATCGATGTGGGCATCGATGCTGGCATCGATACCTGCATCGATGCCTGCATCGATGCCAGATTACTGTAGCGCGCGTCAATGGCTGATTTTGCTTGTCTTGGGGCTCAAGTTTGATCCAATGGCTCTCATTCACTGATGTTTACTATAAATAGGGGTAGAGAGTGAGGGGTTAGAGGTGTGAAAATTTTGTAAACTCCTTTTGGAGAGGAGGGCTACTCTTAATTGAGAAGGCCTTCCAAAATTGTAACTTTAGTTGCAATTAATAATAATAATTTTTTCACCACTTTAAATATTTCTTCTCTTTGTTGGATGATGAAGATGGAGATGAAGAATTATTTAGAGGTTTGCATTTTCTTTCCTTTTTCTCTTTTATTTCCTTTTTATTGCTTATTAGTGTAGATTTATTTCTATGCTTGTAGTTTAGATTTTATTTTCTTGTTAAATAGCCAAGAGGCTAGAACCCTCTTGCCTTAGATTTATTTCATGCTTATAGAGTAGATTTATTTTCTTGCATTTAATTCTTGCAATTTTATTTTGTAGTTTAGATTTTGCACTTTATTTTGTAGTTAGATTTTAATTTCTTATACTATTCACCTTGAGGCTAGAACCCTCTTGGGTTTAGTTTTTCTTTTTGTTTATTTTTATTTTGTTTGATTCGCCTTTAGGCTAGAACCCTCTAGGGAATCACCCTTTTCTAAGAAGTGGGTTCAATTTTAGATTACCTATATCTATAATTGAATCCACCATCTTTAATTTCTTGCATTTTCTTTTATTCTTGAATTTTATTTTCTTTATTCTTGATTTTTATTTTCTTTTTCCTTCTTGCCTTATTGATCATATTCATTCTTTGTCACATCCACTCTCACTTATATTTCGTACCGATTTACACACTATCACTTTCACTCTTTCTATCTCTCCACAATCATATTCACTCATCACTCCTTTTTGTCACGCACACAACATAAGAACCGATTTTATATTTTCTCCTACAAAACACCTTCCTCGTGGGATCGATATCTTAAATACTATAACTTGACACGGTTGTGCACTTGCAACCTTTTTGGTACATGTTTATGCCGCATCAGTGTGTGTGTGTGTGTGTGTGTGTGTGTGTGAAAGATATGAGTATGCTTGGTACCAAGAACAAAATTTGTGCTTGGTAGTGAGGTGGCATATTATCATCTACTCATTCAAATAGACAGACCATATTCACATGGGTTGAATGTGGTCCCCCCCATTTGAATGAGTAGATGAGAATGAGAGACATCACTACGAAGCACAAATTTTGTGGTACCATGTGCTTGGTACCAAGAATACTCATTTCTCTCTCTCTCTCTCTCTATATATATATATATATATATATATATACATATATAAGGGGCTGTGACGAGAGTAGAGGCGTCGTCGTCGAGAGCAGGGGATTGTAGGTTTGCGTTGGATTTGGGGGGGGGGGGGGGGGGAATGAAGAGAATTCATCTCTTGCTGGGGGCTGCCGGCGTCGTCATCGAGAGCGGGGAGGGAGGTGTTTGGCGTGGGAATTGGGGGAAACAGAGAATAGAATCACGAGTGTGTTGGGTGGGTTTCATCGACAGCTCTTGATGAGCTGGGTCGCAACGCGATCTCAAACACAAGGGGTTTTTTGCTAAATGAATCAAAAATTGGTTAGCACCCATTAAAAACAATTAGTGTAAGGATATGGGCCCATCACGGTATAGGAGAAATCTCCCTATGTCAATGACTCCATTTAATCTCATTATATATATATATATATATAATATAAATATATAATATATATTATTATAGTATATATATATATGCAGGAGTATGGGTATGCTTGGTACCATAGCAGAAATTTGTGGCTTGGTAGTTAGGTGCATATTATCTTCCACTCATTCAGAATGGGGGATCCACATTCACAGTGAGTTGAATTGTGGTCCCCCAAATGAATGAGTGATAGAAGTGAACACCTCACTACACACAAGAATTTATGCTTGGTACCAGCAACCGATTTTTGCTCATGCTCTTTCTATATAATATATATATATATATATATATAGTATATATAGTATATATATGAGAAATATGGTTATGCTTGGTGGCCAAGCACAAGTTTTGTGCTTGGTAGTAGGTGGCAGATAAATTTCAGCACGTCACTCTCAAATGGGACACATTCAAATGGGTTTAAGAGTGGCATGGGAATGTAACCATTTTTGAAAGTGAGTGGAGGGGATATATACCTCACTACCAACACAATTATTTTGTGTTAGTAGCGAAGCACTACACATCTCTGGCTCTCTCGTCTCTCTCTCTCTCTCTATATATATATTATACTATATATCATATGATATCATATATATATATATGATCTTATATACATATATATAATATAGAGAGGAGAGAGCAGAGAGAAAATGATATGCTTGTATGGGTGCATAATCCCTATAACTTCAATGTTGCATATCCCTATGCACTCGCTCACACCATATGTGAAGTGGTCCCCCATTTAAATGAGTGAGATATCTCTCTCAACCAAACACCGAT